TTTGAACACAACTGCTCAAAACGGTCTAAATGTATGAAACCTACACATTCGAAACATTATTACTCTGAACTTTTTAATGTAAATGTTAAGTGTAAGTAGTGAAATGTTAAGTAATGTAAGGTCTTTCATGACACTACATATGCTGGGGTGTGAATTTGATAGGTGCTTGATATAAAATAAACGGTGCTTTAAAAAGTCCTTGAAATCCTTGAATCTGGTGTTCATGAAAGAGTGGGAACCCTGATGTTTGTATAATGACTGTTAAACTTTATAATTAACTGTTTTGTATATCCCAGTGCTTTTATTCATCACATAAAAAAAAGAAAAGAAATCAATATTTCATGCATTACCATTCAAAAATTCAGCGAATATTTTTTTCTTCTGCTCACCAAGGCTGCATTTATTTGATCAAAAATGCAGTAAAAGCTGTAATATTGTAAAATATTTTTTTACAAATTAAAATAACTATATTCTATGTGAATATATTGTAAAATGTAATTTATTCTTGTGATTAAAGCTGAATTTTCGGCATCATTACTTACTGTCACATGATCCTTCATGAATATGCTGATTTGCTGCTCTGCTGCTCAAAAAACATTTCTGCTTATTATCACTGCTTCATATTTTTCTTGAAACTTGATGCATTTTTTCAGGATCTTTTGATCAATTTAATGCATCCTTGCTAAATAAAGGTAATTAAAAAAATAATAATCTTACTGACCCCAAACTTTTGAATACCAATGTTTCTATTTATGCATGTATGTATTTATTTATTTAATAAGTCGTAATAAGATAAGCCACCAAATATTTAAAAAATCCAGTTTTAGTAAAATTATAAAACACATTCATATATTTAGATTTTTTTGAAAACGCAAATTTAAGTCTTGAGTCGCAGAATATGAGTGATCCTGTGTGAACTAAGGCTTTGCTTTGAAAACAAAATTGTGTATTTGATTCCTCCTGGTCATCTTTTAGTTTTGTAGAATGGGTTGGGGTTTGAAATAATAAACAGCACAGAGAATAGCCCTTTTTTCCACCCGTCTGAAGATCAGCATTTAGCCTGTGAGTTTTAAATTAGCGGCAGCTGAAATTGTCGCAGTGGTTTCATATCTACATGCATTACCATAAAGAATAGATCTAGAGAGCCTGATAGATCTGCGCTCTTGTTCTCTGCAGGCCTCTTCATATGGAGAGCAGTTGAAACAGTCGCTCTTAAACATGCACGCTGGTTTTTGTGGCACAAGTACTCGCTTTACATTTTCTTGCTTTAAAAAGATGCAATTGAGATAGGAGCGTTTGTGTTTAGCACGTATCACTTCATTAATTTTCAGTGCTCGGGTTATTCACGTTACTGCTGGATAAGTGTGAAAGCTTTTTGAATTAGCAGCTATATTTATTCTGTGTGTTCAAGACATGCATTTCTTATCATTTTCACTCTTTAGCCTACTGTAGAAATCTTTAAAAGCACTCACGCGAGGCTGTGGCGCTCCACAAGATTTGCATTGTGGTTAATCAGAGAACAAAACCTTCGAGATGTCAAGGAGATCCTTCTGGAAAAATGATAACTGGTTTTTCACATGTGCATAATAGAGGTACGCTTCGGTACAAGGACATTATCTTCTTCCATTTTTAGTTGATGGTAATATGTGGGTGGGTGGGTGGTGAATTGTCAAACCTCGCTCTTTCTCTGGCCTTGGGCAAGGTATTGGTATTCAAAGATGCATGCATGAGCGTGCATAAACTCTCACAAACGCACAAGATAAATATTCGTTTACCTCCGGTCAGATGGGATATTTGATTGGGGATATAGGACCAATCGTTCCCAAACCTCCTTCTAATTGTTACCAAGCACTGCCTACATAGACAGCTGCCTTCTAAGGAAGCGTTCTGACTGTTGTTGAACCTATAAGTGATCAAATTGGAACATTCAACATTGTTAACTTTCATGTCACACAAATAGCATTTTGCACTTGACAGACAATTGATTCTATTAGAATTTGTTGTTAGTATGTCTTATTTTAATATAATTGAGATACCATTATAGGTTTTAGTAATATATTAGTTTTTATTTTTATATTTTCAATTTTCATTTTCATTTTAGTTAAAATTTTAGTCATTTTGTTGTGTTTTAGTCATTTTTAGTTTTTTATATGTTTTTATACATTTTATTTCAGTTTTAGTTATTCTCATCACATTAAACTAAATAAAAATGGAAAATGGTCAACTAGCTGAAATTTATATATATATGATATATATAAATATGAAACCGGGTCCCAGAGTGGATAAATCTGAAAATGACGCCCTTGCGTTTTCGTGTGTACAGCGAATCCGTATATTTTCTGAAACAATGATGTCATCACCCCACGTCTTGACCCTAGTCAGACACCGCTACGTCACGTAACAACAACAACCGTGTGGACGTAGCCTAAGGGAGAACTGAGGAGTTATAAGCATGAACCAAACAAACAACAACAGACAACAGGTGAACTGAATGACATAATCAGGCAACTCAGGAAAACTAGGTCACAACGGAGAGAACATAAAACAAGTCATACATTTAACAGTTCGCCCCCTCCTGGGAAGGCGCGTCCCTGCACTGTAACAAAGTCCAACTGAGGAGGGAGGGTGGGGGCTCTGGAGGAGGGCGTGGAGCAGGAGAAAGGCAGAAACAAAAATAGTCCAAAAGAGTCCAAGGGGGAGTGGAGGAGCTGGAGGGAAGGAGGAGCCTGACAGAGCCGGTGGGACAGAGTGACGAGGCGAAGCCGGATGGTCGATGATTGACCAAGGCGAAGCCGGATGGTCGATGATTGACCAAGGCGGAGCCGGAGGGACGAGGGAGCCCGGTGGAGCCAGATGTTGGTCCAGAGACCAGCCAGGACGAAGCCCCAGGGCGGGGTCGAAGGAGGGAGGAGCCATGGTGGAGAAGGCCTTGATGACACCCTGGGGACGAACGATGGAGATGGAGCCACTGGAGGTGGAGACCCAGATGGAGCCGAGCAGACGGAGAGCCAGGGTGACACCAAGGATCCGGAGGGCCAAGGCAGAGCTGAAGGTTCAGGCGACCGAGGCGGGGATCCAGAAGGCCGTGGTGGAGTCGGAGCCTCAGAGGACTGAGGAGGAGCCGAAGGGATGGAGGAGCCCGACAGAGCCGGAGAGACAAGGCGCAGCCAGAGGAGTGGAGTCCCGAGGCGACGGATGGTCGACGATAGACCAAGGCG